TCGTGTACCATTCACCATGCCAATCAACTCCCCCCGGCCAAGAAAAAGGTATATTTGCAGTATAGATTCCCTTTTATATTATTTCTTCTTACTCAATTGCTTTTGATGTCAACTGGTTCACAGGAAGTGTCAGCAGAAAAGACAGGTTTGTCAAGTAAGCGCAGAGAATCTCTCCGCCGATTTATGGGCATGGCGTAAGTACGGCCAAAAACCTATCAAGGGTTCTCCTCATCCAAGGTAAATTAGGTTAATTTCTCTGCAATGATTTTCCTTTCCTTTTGCGATTTCCTCTCTGAAATACCAAAGATGCTTCTTCTTTATTTTCTTTTTCCCTTCTCTTTTGGCGTCTCCACAGGAACTATTACCGCTGCAGTAGCTCCAAAGGATGTTCAGCGAGAAAACAAGTGGAGCGGAGCACGGCGGACCCCAACATCTTCGTCGTCACATACACAGGCGACCACAATCACCCTCGTCCAACGCATCGAAACTCCCTTGCTGGCAGCACCAGAAACAAGTTATCAGCGACGGCGGGTCAAAACCAGCCCATCAACAATGACCCGGGTTCACCACCAGCCCAAGCTGACCAAGACGCTGTTGCCAATAACGTCAATTCTGACAATTCACTTGACAAAGAAAATGAGGAACTTGATGAGGAGGAGGAAAGGGATGAGAACGAGATAGAGGACGAGGACGTCGAGGAGGACGATGTTCTGATCCCGAACACAGCCATGCCGGATGAGATATTCTTGGGGCTGAAGCAATTGGGTTGTACTAGTTCTAGTGGTAGCGGGGGTTCTCTGGCGGCAGGTGCTTCTGGTGATACTTTTTCGGATCAAGAGCCGTCAAGTTTGGGGTCTTCTTGGGCCGCCGGAGCCACCGTTGGCGGAGGCTGCTAGAACCGACAAGTTACCGTTTGCGAAGGCTGATAGGTTTTTGGTTTAATCTTTTGTTACCGTGTTGGTTCTATGAGAGAGGGGCGGGAGGGATTCTTATTAGATTGTATGTAAATAGATATAGAAAAGAGTCCCTTCCTTCTTCAGCCTATAGGGAGTTTTCAGCTTTATTTTCCTCTTGTTGTAAATTGAGCATATAAAAGGTTTCTTTTTAAGGCTAATTTGTTGTGGTGAATGACAAAGAAAACTGTTTATAACGAATATATTCATGTTAAACTTATATATACGTGGAGGAGGTATGTGATTAGTAATATAATCATTAGACATAATGTTTATAACATTACACTTTACATGTGCTAAAGAGAGTTTCAGGCACACGTTTCATGTCAGTAAGAATAAAATTGTTTATAACCAATTTACCGACTTCTACCGTACTTACCTAAAACTCATATTTACGCGGAGAGATGATTAGTAACATAATCATCAAACATGGTGTTCATAATGTTACACATGGTAGAAACGTTTTTAGGCGCATGTTTCATTTTGACAAGCGCTTTTTTTTTTGGGGGCCAAATTATAACCAATATACTGACTTGTATATATCAAATTCACTTAAAATTCATCCACATGGATAAACGTAGTTAGTAATATAATTATTAAACATCCTCCCCTTGGTCAAGAAAAATATAATTATAAAAGAGTAGTTTAAGAATGTGATTTTTGTATATATGTATATATAGCATGGATCACGACGTGGTATGATGTTCGTTCTTACAGGTTATACACTTCATTTAGAACAATTTATTCCGTCACCAACACTCATGAGGCATCAAATTTGCAATCTTTCCATTCATAAACATGTAATTTAAGAAAACCCCAAACCCTCTTTAATCTACACATACACTTTACTTAAAGAAAACCCTCTTTATTTCATCTTTCATTAATGATTTTGCGAAACAATTAATATCCTAATTAATTAGAGTATCCAACAAAAAGCATCCATATGAATGAATTAGGAAGTGCTTTCCTCTGTCAACATTTTGACTATGCCAGGTCATCACCGGGTAAATACAGAAACTAGCACTGAGTAGTAGAACATAAATCTAATTATAATTTTAAAAATAAAAACAATACTTTAGAGAAAAAAAGAGAGGGTATATTTATTTATAAATCAAGTGGGTGTAAGACAGTTGTCGGTTTCCACGAAAGGTAGGGTTTAATTTGTCAGACCGTGACCCGCTCCGGTTCAGTCGCCTTCATCACGAGACAAACACTAGATCCCCTTTTTGTCTGGTCATACAATGGGGACAAATATAGTTGGCTTCTCGGGTCAAATATTTTTTCCCCTCTCTGGATATAATTACGAGAGTGGGTCAAATCTATTTTATTCAGGGTTTTGTCTTTTACTTAATCTCGAAAAATAATATTGTGTATGAACGAAAACATAATAAATATCCACAACAAGGGTTGGTTGCAGAAAAGAAATACTAGGTTTTAAATGGGTGAAGCAAGTTGTTGGGTTATTGTATTCGAGAAATATGAGGATGACCCTGTCAAAAACAAAACGTATAAGGTCATTCTTTTTTAATAAAATATAGGGTCTTTGTTTATTAAATATTATCTCTTACTAACCAAATTAAAGTTTTGTTAATCATTTTATATATTAATTGGTTTATACTCTCAAGCCTCATTGTGGTATTCTAAATTTGTATTCGACCTCTTAGCTCGAATTTGTAGTATACAAATGGAGGCTCACTCATCCCAAAACTTATACCTAGACTCTTTTACCACCAGCTTTTTTACATTTTATCTCTCCTTCTCCCTCTCTTGCTCTCTCCATCTCTCCTTTTCGTACAAGATTGAAAGGAAATACCAAGGAAAGAGATGACATATATAAATTATCATCTCTTGTGCTAGATTCTCATAATAACGTCATTTTTTTGTTATTAAAAAAATGGAAGCATCGTAAGAGTATATACGGATAGGATGAAATCATATAAAACCCAGTGTGAGAGCCATGAACAATAACGTAATATTCAAATAGATTCACAATATGAACCAATTAGAAAAGGAAGCAGGGACACCCAAAAGCGACACATCCAAACAGCTTTGCCAACAGCAAAAACTTGCCCTGGGCTTATGGGACTATGAAGTCTGTGATTGTGTTGTAGCAGTGGAAGCGATTTTTGTTGGGGTTATGAGCAATAAGGAAGGAAACGAGAGGCCTTTGAGATTTTAGAATTTGATAGAGATTCACGAATGAGGTATAAACCTAAATCTTAAATCATATCATTAAAGATATGGCTTGTGGCAAGGAGCTTATAGTTTAAGTAGTTAAAGGCATTTATTCACGCACTTGAGGTTTTAAATTCGATTTTCCTTTCCTTAATATCGCATGTATAAACAAAGGAAATGATGCGTGAAAATAAGTAACGAGTTTTGATCCATCATCAAGTTTATATGTTGTTGGGCTTTTGTCCCTACAAAACAAAAGTAAAATAAAAGAAGACGTTTATGCTTAGGCCCAGAGGATATTGCAGGCCTTGATTTGGGCTTATGATGATGTGGCAACACCGAATTATAATGAAACACGATTCGGGAAACCCATCATCTCTTTCCTTAAACGGGTTTTACAGTGAGCGAGTCTGTGTCTGTGAGCTAGGTAGGAGGAGAGGACCGATACGATACAGAGCTTCACATCGCAGAGAGAGTGTGATACTAAAAGATGTTCCTGCGAGCGATCGGACGGCCATTAATGGCCAAGGTGAAGCAGACGACGGGGATCGTAGGGCTGGACGTGGTCCCCAATGCCAGGGAGGTCCTAATCGAGCTATACTCCAAAACCCTAAAGGAGATCCAGGCCGTTCCCGAGGACGAAGGGTACCGTAAGGCCGTCGAGAGCTTCACACGGCAGCGTCTCAAGGTATGCCGCGAAGAAGAGGACTGGGAAGCGATCGAGAAGAAGCTTGGCTGTGGCCAGGTCGAGGAGCTCATCGAGGAGGCACGTGACGAGCTCACCCTCATCGGCAAGATGATCGGTCCGTACAATTTATTATTAGTATTATTTGTCATAATTGAGCTATTTATTTTTCTATTTCGGAAATAATGAAATTAGAAATGTTGAATTGAGTTTTGCTATTGGCATTGGTCCTAGGTCCTATAACATGCGAATTGAGCTCAAGGAGCTCAAAGATCGGTTCCTGCTCAGAAATGTGTGGTTGTGTTTTCTAAAATGAAGTGCTTGTTTTTGGTTTCTCAGAAATGTGGTTTGTTTGGTTGATGAGAAATAGAAAACTAAAATGGAATTGGAAATTTTGGCGATTCAGTCTGGCCTCTGTAGTTTTGTGATGGTGCTTTAGTTCCCCAGTTTTAGTCGTGGAAATTATGATGGAAAACTGAATAAAGGTTGTAAAATTATAGTGGTAATGTTTAGGCGGTGCTTTTGTTTACTACAATCATGAAACGAAAGGCTTCACTTGATTTTATCAGTTTCAAAGAGAATATGATTTGCTTGAGAATGACGTATTGTTGACTTGATGCATATGAAGCTGCAATTTCACTCTGTTCACTGTATATAAAGTTTAGTGTGAGCTCTATTTTGTTCACTTGGATGCATGTCAAACTCTCATTCGATGTCCAAAGTTGATATCTTTTATCGTGTCAACTATGATGTTTACTAGCCATTGTAGTCAATTGTTTCGATTAACGTGGCGTCTTTAGTTCTTCTCTCTCAGTGTTTTATTGTTCAAACGTTGGAAATGATATCTTCTGTTGCCATTGTATGTATGAAGTGCTAGTTTGAGCGAAACTGATATATTATATTATTTCCAAAGTAGCATTGAATTGTATTGTTTGTAATAGTGTGCATTCTGTGTTGTGTTGGATTGCAGAGTGGGATCCATGGGGTGTTCCTGATGATTATGAATGCGAGGTGATCGAGAATGACGCGCCTGTTCCCAAACATGTCCCTCTGCACCGACCTGGTCCTCTTCCAGAAGAGTTCTACAAGACGCTGGAGGGTCTTACTACAAACCAAGCGAAGTTGGATGAGGCTATCGGGTCCGAATCAAAGGAGTAACTGTCTTACTGGTATATGCTCCTGGGGACTTTGGACTCCAAATTCGAATTTGAGTCTTTTTTCTTGAATTCTCCTGTTTTTTTGTTGGTGCCAGTGGGCCTGTTTGCTAGGCTGTATAAATTTTCGAGTATGGGAGGGAGGCTTGGATTTTTCAATAATCTACACTCCAAGTGTTGTTATCGTAAAGTAAAACTATGTTGTTTTCTTTATTTATGCTCGATTTCCATTGAAAATGAGTAATGTAAAAGGTTAGCTTCTACTGTTCTGAATGCTGCTTGTTTCCATCTTAAATAAAGAATTAATGTTACAAGTTTGTCGCAAAACTCACAAGACAAGACAATTTCATTGCCAACAGTCTAACAATTCTGTCCGCAGAATCTTCGTTATTTTCGAATGTCATTATAGAACATCAACTATGACATACAGAGTTATGAAATATTTCATCGTGTTGTAAACTAGCTGCAACCATGCACGAGCACTCACCCTTCTTGAAGACATGCAATCGGTTCCCGTCCCTCACAATGATCTCCCTGTCAACAAATTGAGTTACAAGCATTATAAAGTTATGGCATTCGCTGCATATACGCATGTTCTTCGATATGCGTATGGAAGCGTTTCGCGGCGTTCTGAGAAGACCAAATGCAACAGCTAGCTTCTCACTATGATAAGATGAATCTTCATAGTCCTGATACAAGTTTCCTCGGTTCTTCAAGTCCGTAATAAGCGATTCTACTTTTTCATGGATTTCATTTATATGTGGATGTGATCTATCTCCTGCATTGAATAGGTGAACCTTGTTTCTTATCTCCATCCAGCACTGCCCAGGATTCTTCTTCAATCCCCTCTCTCTCATCACCCTTCGGGTGCTCTTGGCTAAATCAGGCTGACCAGATTCTTCATACAAATTTGCAAGCAGCACATAAAAAGCTGGATCAGACGGGTCTAGTTCAATACCTTGCCTTGCAACATATTCCCCCAGAGCAATGTTTCTATGTGACTTGCAAGCACCCAATAATGTCTTATAGATTAAGGCATCTGGTTTAAGAGGCATTGTCATGATCACTTCCATGGCATCCTCTAGTCGACCGGCTCGTCCAAGGAGATCAACTAAACAGGCATAGTGATCCAGTTGTGGAGCTATCTCATGCTTTTCTCTCATTGACTGAAAATGCTCAAGACCTAATTCAACCAAACCACCATGGCTGCAAGCAAAAAGCACTAACAGGAATGTAATGGAATCAGGTTTAAATCCTGCCAGCCTCATGTCATCGAAGGTGGAGAGAGCAGAGGAGATGTGCCCAGTTGATGCCAATCCAGATATCAATCCGTTCCATGATACAATATCTGGCTCAGAAATCCCCTTGAAAGCTCTGTAGGCATCATCCGTGCATCCACATTTCCCATAAAAGTCAACTAAGGCATTTGAAACTGATATCCCACTGGCTAAACCGGCTTTGATAGAATAGCAATGTAGTTGCCTCCCAGTTTCCATTGCTGCTAAGCCAGCTGATGAAGATAAGAAGCTTGCCATACTAAATCCATCCATTTCAACATCATCCATGTACATGCGAACAATGACATCCAGTGCCACTTCATACCGACCCATCTGATTCATTCTCGTGGCCAAACATGTGTATGTGATAGCATCTCTATGGATCATGGAGGTAACTACATGCCATGCATCATCCACCATCCCCAATGCAGCATAAGCATCCACAAGAGCATTCCCAACAACTGTATCACAGCCAGCTTTAGTTTTAACTATAAGTCCATGGAGTTTCACTGTTTGACTATGAGATTTAACTGTACTGCAGGCACGAAGAATGCTGGAGAGAGTAAAAGAATTTGGTTGAATTCCTACTGCTCGCATCTCCGCAAAAGACTGAAAAGAATCTTTTTCAAAACCGTGCTGAGAAAAACCAGCAATCAAAGAAGTCCAAGTGATGACACTCGGTGAGGTTATGTCCCTAAACGCTCCAAAAGCATCTTCTGCTAGGTAACATTTCATGTACATATCAACTAGTGCACCTCCTGCACAAGTATCATCCTCCAAGCCAGCCTTGATTATCCGTGAATGGATCTGTTTTCCCAATTCCAGCGATAAAATTTCCGAGCTTGCCTTCAGTATGCTACAGTATGTGAAATTATTTGGTACAGTTCCAGAGAGCTCCATCTCATGCACTGCAGCAATAGCGTCCGTGACTCTCAAACTTTGTGTGAAGCCAGAAATAACAGAGGTCCACAATAACACGTCGTAGTCAGGTGTTTGATTTGAAACCTTAATGGCATCTTCCATCTTCTGGCATTTTGAATACATATTGACCAGGGCTGTCTTCAAGACCAGATTCAGCCTCATTCCTAATATTATCAAATGGGCATGAAGTAATTTCCCGTAATTCAAACCGAGAGAATACGATGCAGGTAAAAGTTTCACAAAAGTGAACTCATTTGGATGAACCCCAGCACATATCATATCCATGTAATGGGCTAGAGCCTGACTGAATTTCTCAGCTTGGACTAATGAAGAGATGATTGTTGTCCAAGAAATAGTGTCCCGATTGTCCATGTTTGTAAATATCTTACAAGCCTCGTCAGTGAAACCACACCTGGCATACAAATCAATCATAGTGCTGCCAAGATATTGGTTTGACTCAAACCCAAGCTTTATCACATATGCATGTATTCGAGTCCCGTAATCAAAATCTCCCAACAATGAGCACGACCGGAGGACACTTGAGAGTGTAAACTCATTGGGGCACTGCCCAGAAATGCTCATCGAATAGAAGAATTCGAGCGCCTCATCATACCGTCCGTTCCTGACATAAGCAGACAGCATGCCAGTCCAGGACACAACATCCCTGTCAGGCATTTCATCGAAGAAGTGGCGTGCAGGTTCAACTCCAAAGCATTTTGCATACAAAGACAGCAAATTGTTGCTCAAGTAGAGGTCTTCCTGAAGACCCAGTTTAGTAATTGGACTGTGAACAGAGACACCCTCTTTCAGGGCCCGTGAGTTGCATAATGAAAGAACCCGAAGGCATGTCTCTTTGAAACAGTTTACTTGAGTTGTGTTGATAACGAACTTGGTGACTGTCGTTAGAGACATAAAAACCCTTTTCTTATCTAAGTTTTACTTCGGTATTCGAAGCAGTTCCTTCCAACTCCGCGGACTCGTGGAAGGTTCCTTTCTCTATGGTCTCTACAGCGATGCCTATACGATGGAAGCTTCCACGAAGCTATATCATCTCCTTGTTTTCCCTGTTTATTGTGATGCATTCACATTAACACTTGGTCGGAATAAACAAAAGTAGAAACCTCGAAGAACCAAAGAAAAGTATAAGAACTTGCCTTCCTGTTGTGTTTTTTACTCTGGCACATATACTTTCCGCACTGATCAAGATAAACAAAATTGTTTCCGTTGAAATAAATCTAAACTTAAGAGGATCTCTATAGAGATAAAGCAAAATGTGCTTGTGATTAAATTTTCAGAAATCCGTTGAAATATTGTTAATGAATTAAAATCCTAAAAGTGAATATCAGTTCGCATATAATATAAAGTAGTAAAAATAACATTTTTATGGAAACTTTGAAATAATATATATTTCACCCAACACTTCAAATATTAATAAAATTTCCTTATTTATTTGGAAACTTTTTTTATTTTCTCAAATTTTTTTTATTTGGAAAACTTAAATACTTCAAGTTTAGGTATTTTTGTTTAGTACGAGCAATAGTTTAAATTATAGTGTAAGAGGATTTCTCAAACACACACAATTATAATGTCATAAGAATTTCAATATGAAATCTCTAATCTTAAATATTTAAAATATAGCCACACAGCTTAACTTAAATACTTAATCGAGAATCCTCTTAATTTCCATTACTACTTCCGTAATTCCTAGATTTTTTGGGGCACTTGGGCAGAAGCCTAAACAACATCGTATTTCCGTGGTAGACTTTGACAAGTCTTTCCCTCTTCTATTATAATTTGTACTGTATGATTAGAGTGTGTGTGTATGTATTATATATTTTGCTCTCTTATTTTTTCTCAATCCCCTCTACTTTTTCTAGACTCTTCCATCTCCCTTCCCTCTCCTTCTCCTTCTACTCTCAGAGTCAGTCACCGTGCTTTGCCATGGCTTCCGATCTCGAAAAGAGGGCCAAGGAGGCGTTCATCGACGACCACTTCGAGTTGGCCGTTGACCTCTACACCCAGGCCATCGCTCTCAACCCTCAAAACGCCGAGCTCTACTCAGACCGTGCCCAGGCCAACATCAAATCCAATAATCTCACTGGTACTTCCTTCTCTTAGTTTCTTGTTTGGTTCCCAAAAAGCCCAGGAAAAGGAAAATAGTTAAAACCCAGAATTGATTGGATTTGATATGGTTTCTCTAATTAATTCTCTATTGTGGGGTATTTTTTTTATTTTTTTTTTCAGAGGCTGTTTCGGATGCAAACAAGGCAATTGAGTTGGACTCATCATTGTCTAAAGCGTACCTGCGCAAAGGGTGAGTGCGATTGCACAAACCAGACCCATAATTATGTTTGTTGTTTCTGTGTGCGCACCTATTTATATTGTAAACTCTGAAGAGTTTTGTTTGAAATTCTTGGATGTAATTGCAACATCACATGCAAATTTACTTTTTTTATTGTTGATTTCAACTGAAAAACTGACTAGGTATTGTTGAAGTCCTTGGGGGCTTCCCTTTGCTATCAGTTATGTTCTGGATTGAATACATGCCAATGTAAATGTCATGGCTCATTGGTCTCTTGTTTCCTATCTGTAAAACTTACGATCCTTCTTCTTTTCCATTTTTGGTTACAGAATTGCCTGCATCAACCTTGAGGAATATCAGACTGCAAAGGCAGCCCTGGAAATTGGTGCTTCTTTGGCGCCAGAAGAGACCAGATTTGTCAAATTGATAAAAGATTGTGATGAGAAAATTGCAGGTGTGTTTTTTTGCTTTTATGGAAATGGTGGACCTTTTTCCTTTTCACAATAAGATGTTTTTACCTTTGTTATATAATGATTTTGTTCTGGAAAGGAAATATCTGAGGAAATCATTGTACAAGAAATTACTCTGTTGCATCTTGGTGACCTGCTTTTTGTCTTATTGATGACTATTTCATGTTCAATCAGAGGAAACCGGTGTTTTACCAGACCTTTCATTGGAAAAACCCAGTACAGAGGATGTTATCTCTACAAAAAATGTTGAGCCTCTGAGTGATCCTTCCAATCAGTTGACTGTAGCATTTGTCAAACCAAAATACAGGTTAGTCCAACTTTTTGTTGAGCTTGGCAGGATGAGAGATTAATTTAATTGCTGTTAAGGATTTTAGTCTTCTTCCTATCAATTTTTTTTCTTCTTTCTCTACTGTCTTTATTGTGGAGATGTGAAACTCCATAAAATAATGCATCCTTGGATAATACCCTTTCCTTTCTTTATGAGAATCCATTTTGTCACAGAAAACCCCTAGTTACTAAGATACATGATTTGGTGAAAATATTTACGCAGGCATGAATTCTACCAGAAGCCAGACGAAGTGGTGGTGACTATATTTGCTAAGGGCATACCAGCCAAAGATGTTCATATTGACTTTGGTGAACAAATAGTATGTATCACATTGATCTAATGTTTGTTTTATTAATTTTTCTTATTGATTTTATAGTTGTCTCGATCTTAAAGAAAATTTTGTCTGCATCTTTGTATACAAGATTTATGAATTGGTTTTATTGGCTGTTTCCAGCTAAGTGTTAGCATTGATGTTGCTGGTGAGGATACATATCATTTTCAGCCTCGCTTATTCGGAAAGGTATTGCACTAATTTTATGTTTATGAGGAAACTTTTTGGTTAGCCAGGACATATAGTGAATTTAAGAACGCACACACATCCTTTCCATTTTCCCCTTTTTTTTCCTCTAATTTTTGAAATAAGCGGAGCACAGTATCCTTTGCATTTAATCTAGGAGTTCGCTAGTTTTATATATGGATGACAGAAGGCATCCATTCACGCTGTACATTTTTGGATGAGAAAATAACAGTGCGGTTTGGTATTTTGCAAACAGATAATACCTAAAAAGTGCAGATATGAAGTTTTGTCCACCAAAGTTGAAATTCGCCTGGCAAAAGCTGATCCATTACACTGGACATCTCTTGAATTCAGCAAGGATAACTCTGTTGTGCCAAGGGTTAGTGCGCCAGGTGGGTTAATATTTTGGTAAACCAGTTTTTCTGTTAAATAAAATGCATCCCTTTTTGCTTTGGAAAATAGTTGCTAAAAAGATGCAACTGCCTACAGTTATTGGAGAGCAAAGGCCATCTTACCCATCCTCAAAACCAAAACGGGTAGACTGGGATAAGCTTGAAGCCGAAGTGAAGAAGGAGGTTTGCTTGTAACCTAGTTAGTTGATTTGGCATTATCTTTTGCAAGTCTCAGTGCTTGACCACCTACTCTGTATGTTGTGGTTTCAGGAAAAAGAAGAGAAGCTTGATGGTGATGCGGCTTTGAACAAATTTTTCCAGGACATATATAAGGATGCTGATGAGGACACTAGAAGGGCCATGAGAAAATCTTTTGTAAGACTTTTGCCTGTCTAGTCTTTGATACCAGTAGTAGAATGCATATGAGTTGTGGTCACATTGACTTGTACGTTGCATCCTAATGTTTTGTTTGTACAGGTGGAGTCGAATGGGACAGTGCTTTCGACAAACTGGAAAGAAGTGGGAAACAAGAAGGTTGAGGGAAGTGCTCCAGATGGCATGGAGATGAAGAAATGGGAGTACTGATAAGACTATTGCACCTAGTAGTTGGATCTGATATGCCTGTAACTTATTTGGGAGTTCGTGATTTTGTTCGGTAGACTATATAATTAGTTTTCCAAGTCGTCTGGCACTCTGGCTGTTTGGATGTTTGTTTTTGATTTTTTCCTTCCTCTTTTGAAATCAACAAGAATTTGTTTATTTTCCTTTCATGTGTATTCCCCCTCTGTCGTGTTAAGCAGGTGCTTTTGTACACGCAAAACTGATCCCTATCGATCGATCTCATGTGGACAATTTTAAGTGTTTAATACATTATTATTATTACGTTTGTGGTGTTCAGATTCTATTAGAGAGTTCTGCTGCTACTCTTTGCACTCAACTCAAGCATGGAATTATATTTTGTTTTCTTTGAGGAAAGTTGACTTACGCTTTTGGTTATCATATGTATATATATTTTGGACAGGAAAGTTATCAATCATATGGTTCATCATCTAAGCCGGTGATTTCTTTTCATCTGGAAAACAAATAATTTTAGTGTTTAGTACGTTCTCTAGAGAAAGGCTCTCATAATGATACACGCCAAAGAGAGTGGGTGAATAAACAGTATGATTGATTACTATATTATCCTTCATTTTTAAAGTTATCAATCAGCTAATTTCATGAGAATTTATCAAAAATAGCCAAAATTTGACCTCTAATTTCATGAGAATTTATCAAAAAGAGGCAAAACTTGACATCTAATTTCAAAAAATGTCAGTTTTTGTAAAAAATTTCAAATATAGCAGAATATCACCTAAATAGACACAAATACCCTCAAATTTAAAACCCACATAAACCTAAAGAATTAGATTGAGAATCTGTGTACGTAGAGTTTGTTCGCAGACGTATTGCTGCCATAGTTAAACGGTGAGTACAGTTCTTTCTTGGTTCTTCGTTTATTCTTCATCTATATTTATAAAATTTCAATTGTGGTTTTGCTTCCTTGGTTTTTCATCAATTTCCAAAATGCCCCTTCACATGAGAATAATTTTACACGAATTGAAGATTGTCTTTGAATTCGTTGGAGTTGAAAAATTATTGAAATTTTACGGAGCTTAACAATAAAATTGGTAAACTACATGGACCAAAAGTGACTTTATGTATGTAACACCCCGACTCCAAATTAATTTCCTTATTAGAAGTATTTAATTCTATTAATTTTGAATTTTACGAATTTACCCTTGGGGTAGGGGTATTCTAGTCATTTTCTTATCCAGAGAGAGTTTGGGACAGTGAATGGTGTTGTTGGGTAGTTTGTACTGAGATGAATCTACAGACACGTAGTGGGCTCGATTCGGAGTTGTAA